TTCCAAATGATCTTCCCTTCTGTTCTGGCTCCACAGATTATCAATGCAAACCCCCCCCCCCAACCCTAAATATTACAATTTTAAGGTCTAACTTGTCCCACACCTTTTGTGCTACGAACATGATGTTGCTGGAAAAGAGATGTTTTATAGCTTATGTAAGTGATCTGACTTTGATTTTCACCTGGTTGATTATCCAAGCAAACATACAGCATATTTTGCCTACAGTGACAGTCCTTCTGGGGAAATCTGTTGCAAGGCAGAGTTGTGGTAGCTCATGAGACACCCCTTGTGGATTTTGAAAATACAGTTTCCTGGGTTACCTGGCCTGATCTTAATCCACACCACCAGGATCAACGCCAGGATCCCACGTGTCCAACCACAGCTCCTTCTAGGAATACTAAACTCTGCAAAATGACTAAATGTAAATGTAAATGTAAATTAAAAAATACCCTAAACTCATTTCTTCATTTCAATTTGCATACATGGTTAATGTATGAATGATTACAGAGATATTCACAAGAACTTAACATTGCATAATGCACGAACTGGTATGGGCCATCTCCTTCCCAACAGCTAATGGGAACCGCACTATCCTGCGTTCTTATATTTCACAATAAATACTCGGAGGGTTTGTTTGAGAACAGCCTGTTGATTAGTCGGTTTATTCCCAGTGGCTCACTCACCTCTGCAGTTCCTCTCCGAGTCTCTTGGACCCATCCTCCGGAAGCACTTTATACATGTCATCTTCTTCAAGTCTTCTCTTTGATCCGATACGGAAAAGAGGGTTCAGCCACCTGATGTCAAGTGAGAAGAGAAAAGAGGATTTGGTCAATAGAACGCTTTAAATGTGCATGCCAAAGGATGCTGAATTACTGATGAGTAACGGCAGCTGCCTAAAGTGTACAAACAACATGTTTCATGACAGTTAAAGTAATTAAACTAAACAAACAAACATATATACATGCAGGTAGGCAATCTCTTTAAAATGATAGTAACAGATGCTCTCTTCTATCAACACTGCACAGAGTGTTCCTGAGAGTCAAGAGTTGCAAAACAAAACCTAAAAACCCCTCTGACATTAAAGCCAAATGGCTGGATTTGCATATGGGCCCATATCATGAACTAATAAAATAATATGGAATTACAACATAAAATTATACAAAAAAAAACAACTACATTAATATGAGACAGACAATAAAATGATTGTTGTGATAAACATGCTTTTTTATTTCTGAATTAAAACCAGTTTTGAATATTTTCTGATTAATGTCAAAATTGCCTACTGTAGGTGGTGTAACTGTTCAGAGATTGTAAAAAAAAAAAAAAAAAAAAAAAAGACAAATTCCTGAAAAATTTCTTGTTTGGCACAGAACAAAGTGGCAAATTTTTGCTATATAATAAATTGTTTTTATTTTTTTCTTTCACCCTTCAAATCAAAGTCAGTGTGGTGTAACCAAAAAGCAACAGGTAATTTGTTGTCCTGTGACAAGAAAACAATGTCATTACATTAAAAAACAAAATCTAATATTTTTACTTGTTTTACGAAAATGCACGATTTGTTTATGTCAAACAGATTAGTCCCCTAAAAAAATCCTTCTTTTGATATGCATGACTCAAATAAATAAATAAATAACCTTGAAAAAACGTTTGAAACTTCATAAAAAATAAGCTTAATTAAGCTGAATTCTTTTCAAGAATTTTAATAAATAATTTAAATATTGATGAAATTGAAACATGATTAAATAAAGAATTTTTTTGTAAAGAATAGTACAATTTTTATCGATCAACAGAAAATCCTGAAAAATGTCTTGTTTGACACAGAAAACGGGAAAATTTTTTGCTATATAATAAAATTGTTTTTTTGTTTTTGTTGTCGTTTTTTTTATTTCACCCTTCAAATCAAAGTCAGTGTGGTATAACCAAAATCAAGAGGTCATTTTTTTGTCCTGTGACAAGAAAACAATGTCATTAGATTTTTAAAAAATATCTTTTTATATATATATATACACACACACACACACACACAAGTAAATATTTTACTTGTTTATGAAAACACATGACTTGTTTAGGTCAAACAGAGTAGCCCTCTAAAAATCCTTCTTTTGATACTCAAATAAATAAATAAATAACCTTGAAAAAATGTTTGAAAAGTTAATAAAAAATAATGATTAAGCTTAATTCTTTTCAAGATATTTAAAATAAAGATTACATTCAAATAAGATTAAATAAAGAGACTTTTGGTAAAGAATAGTAAAAAAAAAATCAGAAATGTATGAAAATTACATGAATACAAAGAGAACGTTCAAAGAACGTTTTTATCATGCGAGACCCTGAAAGCTATTAGAGTGAACACCTGGAAAAAATACTGGAAATCTCCAGTGAAGTTCTTCGGAAGGAAAAGAAGTGGGTGGTGAACAGGACCAGCTTTCCCCATGTAACGTACCAAAGCACTGGATCAGATACACAACTGATGGAAAGACACCTAAAATCCTCTAAATAAGGTTGAACTAATGTCTTCAGTTTCACACAATGTACAAATAACGAAACGAAAATCCCAAAGTTTAAATTCTTTAATAAAGGCTTTTAATTTCCGAGGGAAGACACATTTATAGTCCATAAGTTGATCATGTAACTGTCCCTCTCCTCTCTTCCTCCTGTATAGAGGCATAAAAACTTACCAGAAAAATACCTGTGAGAAGAGATTAGCCGTGGCGGAAGGGTTGCTCTTCGCATCTTTCTTTATTGGCTCCATTTCGATCGCCATCCTCCCTGCAGTTCAGCCGGACACTGGCACCCCACGCATAACCTGCGATCAGTGCGAGACATTTACCTTATAAACTGTTGTGTAACTTTCTAACATGCACATGTCGGCAAGTACAGGCGGAGGTAAACCCTTCATTTCCTACTGTGAGCGCAAGGCGTAAGCCCCGCCCCTGATTGATCACCCATTGGCTCGACAATCCTTGGGTCACACGTGATTGGCTCAGCGGGGGCTTATAGGCAAGACGTTTACATCCTTCACGCGCACTTTAAAATCAAACTGACGAGATTACGAATCCTGCTATGCTGAAGACCTATTTTATGAATGTTAATTAGAGCAGGGGTGCCCAAACTCAGTCCTGGAGGGCCAGTGTCCTGGTTGGAGAAATTGAATAACTATATGAAGTGGTATAAATATATAAATATTCTGCCATGTCTTGAATTTGTGATCATTCTAAATGCATTTTAATAGACTGAATCATGCAGTGAAAGAAAACACACTAAATGCGCACACGCACTAGTCTAGACTTCACGTAATGTATGCGTGCGCTCTGTAGGGATGTTTTGAATGGTTTTTGCAAAATACTCGATAATGTCAAATCGCACATCGTTAAAACAACAATTACGACATTATCGCAGACGATATATATCGCACACCCTTAGTTGGAGCTCAACTCTGCAGGACACCGGCCCTCCAGGACCGAGTTTGGGCACCCCTCACCAGCCCGCTTATTTACCAGCTTGAGCCAACGTCACGTCGGGTTATTAATATTCATGAGCCAAACCTTCACCATAGTAGGATTTGCACGTGCGCTATTAACGAGCTAAGGATGAAACAGCAGATTTTCTGTGAGGTGGAACTGCTGAAGAAGTAAAGGATGCAACTTTGTTTAATATTTTTTTAAGTAAATAAGATTATGATGGACTATTCTGACACATGAGAGAAAGAAATGTTTATCTGTAGCTTTGATTGTGTAATCGTGCATTGAAGGTACTTCTGGGTGGGGAGGCTTCTTGTCTGCCATCTGTTCTTTATTAGCTCTGCATACACAACCCACGGATGCAGTGTGCTGGAAGCAATCATCTTTAATTAGAGTATCTAAAAAGAGAAAAACAAGAAAGTAACTCAAAACAAATCTTTCCTTTTAAATATATAGAATGTTTCAAAATGAAATTTTCTTATTCTTATGTTGTTCCAAACCCATATGGATTTCCCCCCTTCTGTTAAATACAAATAGATACATTATGAATAATGCTGGTTGATGTTCTCCAAACAATTACAATAAATGGGCACTGTGTTCCAATAAAAGTATTACAAAATGAACAGACAAAAATGTAGTCTAAAATAAAAACATTCATTTGTGAACTAGATCAAGGGATTCATTAAAGGAGACATATTATGCCCCTTTTTACAATATGTAATATAAGTCTCTGGTGTCCCCAGAATGTGTCTGTGAAGTTTCAGCTCAAAATACTCCACAGATCATTTATTATATCATTTTGAAAATGCCTATTTTGAGTGGAAGCAGAAACAGCTGTTTTTCGGGCCTGTGTCTTTAAATGCAATAGAGCTGCGCCATTACAGCTAGGACCTGCTAAAAAACATCTGTTTTGGTTCTGATTATCATGTTTATCGTGCTGAAATCATGCGTTTTAAACCATATGAGTTTAAACTTCAGATATACGGTTTTCTGAGAGCACACATCCGAAGCACACGGACAGAAAGCGGCTGTCACAGGCATGTGAGTACTAAACTAAGTTCTCATTCACACACAAGTTTACGTTAAAAACACACATGAGTTACAAAAAACTGAATAATGCTGGTTGATGTTCTCCAAACAAGTACAATAAACGGGGACTGTATTCCAATAAAAGTATTACAAAATGAACAGACAAAAATGTAGTCTGTAAAATAAAAACATTCATTTGTGAACTAGATAAAGGGATTCATTAAAGACTTCAAAAGAACGATGTATTCACTGAAAAAAAATTATAATTTTTGAGTGAATTTGAAATATGTCCTGACACAATTACATGTTAAACCAATCACACATTAATCTCATTCCTCTGTGAGAAACACATACTGCAAACAGGCGCTATATGTTCATTCTCTCTCTTCCTTCCTCTGTCTGTCTCTCTTTCTTGGATTTCCGAAACAGATAAAGCACTGAAAGGACAGAAGATGAGAGACCCACAATGAGACAGAGCAGGTGGCCGCTACACTGATAAAGGTAATGCTGACTGACACAGACCCACACACACACACATACACACACGTGAGAAGGGAGGCCCTTGCCTGTAGCCGCCAAGAATTGTGCAAACGCTCTATCTGTCATGCAAATATAAACTAGCTTTGTGTGACTCATTAAAGTCTTTCATAGTTATCTAAGAAGTCAAAGTCTTATGTCATGGTGATGTGAGGTTTGTGACCTTTACGCTTCCTGAGGATGAATAACTGCATATCTCAGTCAGCATGCTTCAATCTGCCCCATCTGAATTATTCTGCAATCATAAAACTGCCACTTTCTCCATTTCATATGGCAAGATTAATTTCACAAATGTAATTTGCAACAACATAATTGCACGTTGGAGGTGATACACGTGTTATTAAGTTGCCTCAGCACAGGGATCTCCTCGAGATTTTAGACAGTGTGGATATTTTACATGCACTCTCACACTCTCCAGTTCTTGAGGCACTCTTACTCTTACACTTTGTGCAAACTATATTATAAAACAATTTTGTTAGGACAAATGCACAAACATGAATAGGAGTGTAAGTCAAAACCTGATGCTTACATATTATTACATACTTTTTTGATGGTTAAAGAATTGTCATGTTGAAAAGAAGCCACAGTCTACCCAAATTCTTACCTCTAGATGGCAACAACTCGTGTGTGTGTGTATAGATATATATACAGTTGAAGTCAAAAGTTTACATACACCTTGCAGAATCTGCAAAATGTTAAAAACTGCATACATACAAAATGCATGTTATTGTTAATTTAGTACTGACCTGAATAAGATATTTCACATAAAAGATGTTTACAGTCCACAAGAATATAATAGTTGAATTTATAAAAATTACCCCGTTCAAAAGTTTACATACACTTGATTCTTAATACTGTGTTGTTATCTGAATGATTCACAGTTGTGTTTTTTAGTGATAGTTGTTCATGAGTTCCTTTTTTGTCCTGAACAGTTAAACTGCCTGCTGTTCTTCAGAAAAATCCTTCAGGTCCCAAAATGCATGTTATTGTTAATTTAGTACTGACCTGAATAAGATATTTCACATAAAAGATGTTTACAGTCCACAAGAATATAAGTTGAATTTATAAAAATGACCCCGTTCAAAAGTTTACATACACTTGATTCTTAATACTGTGTTGTTATCTGAATGATTCACAGTTGTGTTTTTTAGTGATAGTTGTTCATGAGTTCCTTTTTTGTCCTGAACAGTTAAACTGCCTGCTGTTCTTCAGAAAAATCCTTCAGGTCCCAAAATCACACATTCTCCCACAAATTCCAGCATTTTTGTGTATTTGAACCTTTTCCAACAATGACTGTATGATTTTGAGATCCATCTTTTCACACTGAGGACAACTGAGGGACTCATATGCAACTATTACAGAAGGTTCAAACGTCATTTAGTAGTGCCCTTCAGAGGCTACAGAAGATACTTGTTTCCCAAAAGACAAAATAAGTTACATTTACCCTGATCTTCAAATTCAAAAGTTTTCACCCCCCGGCTCTTATTAACGAAAACTATAATAGTATCCCAGTGATACCAAAAATATCACTGGTTCAAATCAATCCTTTATGCAAAATGACATCTCTCACATCAGACTCTTATCTGAACACTTTTCACCAATATCCGCTGGAGGCCGTTGGCTTTTCAGGCCCTTTCAATAACAGCCATCTTTAATGTACTCACCTCCTGACCTCCAGTATCTTTGCCGACTCACTCAAAATGATTCTTGCGGAGTGATGTTTGGGTGGGTGCGTGTATGCGAGTGTGTGTGGTGTTGTGGGTAGTTAATGTGAAAACAAAAGACTATTGGTCAGCTGTTGAAAAGGTTAGTAGCCAGAGCCCTCCCTGCTGAATATAAAGTAACTTTGAGGGGCGACCCATCGACAGACAATTCAGTCTGAGCACCCCTTACCAAATTACTACCTGCCTTGACCAGACCTTTCTTTGCATTTCACTTTAACAGAACGTGGGAAAATGGGTAATATGGCAACAGAGATTGTTGCCTTCCTTCTCACCATATCCGGATGGATTCTGATCTCCTCAACGCTCCCAACTGACTACTGGAAAGTGTCGTCAGTGGACGGGACAGTCATCACCACAGCAACCTTTTGGTCCAATCTCTGGAAGACGTGCGTTACGGATTCATCGGAGTCTCCAACTGCAAGGACTTTCCTTCTATGCTTGCACTGGATGGTATTTTATTGCTTTCTTCAAGCATTTGTTGACTTTAATTATTTTCTGAGTAAATGATCTGAATGTGTGTGTGTGTGTTTATGAAAATTGCTGATCGTTTGTCAGTCCTTCTTCCTTCCTCCAGAGAGTGCAGATGTCTAATTGTTGGGAAAAGAGTAGCATGGTGTTGGATTGCCCTAATGCTGTTTTGGCAGAAGCTTCCACAACACAAACAAACTGAAGCCAAACCGATCACTTGACCATTTAAACAGAGAGTTTATTGTGCTAAAATTGAACTTAATGCATGCTGACACCAGTTTAAGAATGCAATGAAGAACCAAGTCTCTATTTTAGTGCTAAAAAGAGATGCAAAATGATTCAGCTTGTCTCAAACTCTATTTCCCTGACTTATTACGCCAGTTACAACCTGCAGGAATGTGTATCTCAAGGCAAGTAAAACAGGGTTTAATAACCATGCGTTGGCTTAATTGTGTCTGAATGGCTCACCCACAAACAGAAGAAAGCTTTAGTAAAAACAGAGAACCTTGTTCCCTCTGGGTGCAGAGCAAAAGCAGGTAGTTGAACAGGTTATGCATTTAAATGATATTAATGCATAATTGTCATGTTTGAAGCTGCGCATATTTGGGATGTGACCTCATTGACGGCTAACTAGAAAGTTCAGTGAAAGATGCTACATTCATTTAAATGTGAAGATTGTGATTTATGCACCACTAGCAGCATCTAGAAGAATTCCAAAAAGAAGTTCATTTTTGCTGCATCCCAGTGAAAGTGTGTTCTGTATGTATTCTGTCATTCAGGTGTGTGAATGTGATATGGAATTTATTTGCACAATGCAATCCATCTTCTGCCAGATGAAAATGATAAGTCTGATCATTTAAATGTAATATCATAACATAAATGAGATGTTATTGAAAAAATTACTTGTGTTGGTCTCAGTAGTAATGGGCTGAAAATGATGCACTTATCCATTTTTGCCACTTTTCCAGCAAAAAATTTATAATTTTTTGTACTGTCTTGAAGTTCACTTTATAATTATAGTAACTGTATAACTTCCAGCTTTTATTTTTATAAATATATATATATATATATTAATTATATTAATAGAATTAGTATTTTCTCTACAGTCAGTGGCACGTAGTGCATTATATAGGGGACAGGGAACGATTCAAACAGTGTAAATATGCTTTCCATTGAGGAAAAAAAAATATATATATATATATTAATTATTTGATGATGAAAAATTATATTATACATTATTAATTATTATACATTTATAATAACAGGTTTGGAGTAATACTTTATAATTATTTATAATTATCATAATTTTATCAAATGTTTATTTATATATACATTATTATCAAAATAACTATAACATACACATAAGTAAAATATTAACAACAAATAAAAAAAAAAATGAATTCATCCTAGTAATCATGTAATACATTTTTATAGTTTATTATAAATTATTTGTTGTAATTTGTGATTATATATGGCTTCTGCTTTCCTGTTCCTGCAGCTTATATCCAGGTGTGTCGTGGACTGATGATCTCAGCTGTGTGTTTGGGATTTTTTGGAGCTATCCTGGCACTAGTGGGCATGAAGTGTACTAAAATAGGGGGATCAGAGACCACCAAAGCCAGGATCACCTGTCTGTGTGGACTACACTTTATTCTCAGTGGTAAATGTTGCCTGAGCTAGGTCATGGCTTATTGTTTTTTAAAGCATTTGCAATTCCTACTTCTGCGATTGACAGTGTCCTGTAATGATATACCCGTCCTCTCTCCAGGAATCTGCTCTATGACCGCCTGCTCTCTCTATGCACACCGGATAACATCAGAGTTCTTTGACCCCTTATTTGTAAAACAGAAGTAAGTTTTGTAACATTCCTGCAATTGCTAATATGCATCCCAATCCAGATTATTACGGACACGTCTTCTACGTGTCTGATTTTAGATTTGAACTTGGGGCGGCGCTCTTCATTGGCTGGGCAGGATCTGTTCTCAGCATTCTTGGAGGATTGATCTTTTGCTTTTCCATGACTGAGGGATTCAGCATCAGGTCTGATTCTTAGATTTTCCACTTATATACTGTGTCACTTGTTTAAAAGAGATCATATAATTTGCAATTTTTATGCCAGCAACCTAAAATATTAACAAATGAATTTAGCCTACATGTCAACAAATCCTATGTGGCTCATCCATGTAATTTAACTTTAAGTTTAATTAGCATTTTAATTTAAGTAATTTAACGTATTCTTAATTCAACT